TGTGTTTTGTTGATTAATAAATAATATTTGCTAAATATTGTTGAAGTTGTTTATTTGTATGATTATTTGTTGTTCTTATTAATATTTGTTGTTTGTATTATGTTGATACATATAGTAGTACACTATATTGTATTTGTTATTTTGACTATATTGTTCAACTTGTTTGTTTGTATTAAAATTTGTTGTTTGTTTTGTGTTTGTTTTAGTATTTGTTGTTTTTTTGTTGTTTATTGATTAGTTGAGTTTTTTTTAGTAGTACATTATTTTAAAAGAAAAGTTTATATAGAGCCGAGGCTCGAAACAATCAAACTACAACCTAAACTCAAAAATTTCACTAGATGAGGTTATTTTGATACTCAAATATATTCAAATTGATCATCTCAACATCAAGATACATGGACATAAGAGAAAAATGGATTTCAGGTTTTAGAAATAGTGTATTTTGTAACACTTTTTGGACCGTCAATTTTTAAGATTTTCAAGTTTTCATAGATCTGTCGATCTACACTATTTTTGAAGCCTTTAAACTTTATAAATTAAAATTAAAATATGTTTTGAGGCTATCACAAAGATTTTCAGTATTGAAACCACATTTCTGGATACTATTTGAAGGTAGGCTCCAATTTGATTGTTTAGAGCCTAGGCTCTATACGAACCACACCCTTATTTTAATATATTACGCAATACTCACATTTTATGAACCTTAAATTAGTTAGATATATCCAAATTTTTTGTATTCCTTATTGTATTGATTTTGTGTAACACGAATTTTTCTATTCTTTTAATACAGTAGTATTGACGATGGTTACCGAGGGAGTGCAACTGGTATTTCGATATAGAGGCTCATTTGAGACGAATGCAGATAATGAATGTATTGTTTATAAAGGAGGAAAATTGAAGGTTATGAAGTATAATGGAAATAGTTTCTTGAAGGAACTAAAAAGTCATTTTGGTAAGTTAACATTGTGTGATCCAAACAAATTAACTATTATGTACCACAACACAAGTCTATCTAGTGGGCTTGAATTGATTGATATAAGTGATGATATACATGTATCTTTTATGTCGGAAGGGGAGTCTTCGAGTATTGTTGTATATATTACCTCTGCAATAGAGCCAGAACGGGGATCTATGGAATTCCCAACAGCATAACCTGTTGATGATGGCCCATCTGCAAGGAATAGGTATATCTACCATTTACTTTGTCATCTCTAATTTGCTCTATTTGAATATTTTATATGCAAAGATTGTTGGTTCTTCTTACACTCTATCTTCTGTCAACAGTTGGCATAATGCTTCTTTACTTGATCAAGATGAGAACATTCAAGTGGTGCCCAACCTTGAGCTTGTATCAGAGCGTGATATGGAGGATATCAAACCACTAGAGAGCCCATGTAGAGGAGTTGGTAACGAGATTCAATTGAAAATTGGGCACCGGCATCATTGAGTTGATTTTGTTATTCACAATAATTTTGTCATAAAGTTTGACAAAAGTGAAGGGGGCCAAGTGTGAGCAAGTTGCAAGTCAGAGGGATACACATGGCAAGTACGGTGCTTACGGTTTGGCAGTATGGCATACTTTAAAGTGAAATCTATAGTTAAGGTGCACACACGTAGTGGTCCAATGGAGATTAACCACTAGCTTGTAGTGATTGGGTGACAAAATAAAAATTAAAGCCCGCAATATTGACCAACCAAAAATTTATGCATGCGACATATGAGAGAGAACTTCAAGGGCATTATGAAGAAATCAGCAAACGCCGAAGTATTGCTGATGCTGTTTTAGAAGGCTGCCCATAAAGCGACCATTTGTGGGTTTGAAAAAATAATATTTGGTATACAGTATGCCAACCCAAAAGCATATGAGTGGATTAAGAATATCACTCCCAAATCTTGGGCAGATGCCTATTTTATAGGAGCATGATACAATCATCTTACCTCTAACATAGCCAAGTCATTCAATGCTTGGATTTTATATGCTAGAGAAGCCAATCATTATAATGTGTGAAGAATTAAAGGTACAGTTGATGAACAGGTTTGAAAAGAAGATGAACTTAGGTAATAGTTGGAACGGCATGTTAGTATCAAAAGCTCAAGAATTACTCGATTTGCGACAGATAAAAGCAAGATTTTTACACACAGTTACATCCGCTATGGACATACAGTTTGAGATCCATTATCTTCGAAAGAAGTACGTAGTCGGTTTAATTCATTGGACGTGCAGTTGTAGAAAATGACAACTCTGTGACATACCGTGTAGTCATGTCATTGCGGCTATTAACCATATGCATTTGAATCCCACTATGTACTGTCTTTAGTATTTCACAGTGGAATAATTTAAAAAGGCCTTTCAAACTCCCTTTGGGCCTGTCCCGGATGATATTAAGTTGACAGGTATATTCAACAGGACAGTGTTGCCATCAAATACGACGCGCATTCCCGGTAGGCCGAAAAAGCAACGAAAAACATCTGAGACTGAACAGTCCATTACCAGGCCTTTGAAGTGCAAATGTTGTGGCACAGTGGGTCATAATATGAGGACTTGCAGAGAACCGATAGGCCATTAGGAAGTAAATCATTATTTCATTACATGCATTATACTTTGGTATTTTGTATCAAATTGTCATTTTGATGAATTAATGAATAGCATGAATTCCATGTTGTCAATCTTGTGTTTTTGTACTTGATGTTATATACGGATCTTTACAAGGTAAATGGTGTGATGGTGTTAATAAAAAGCAATGACTGTAATCAATATGCAAAAAAGTACGAAATTTTCAAACTCATTTTGTGATGGTGTTAACAATTTTGGACTGCATACTCCAGAAGCTTGTTTAGCATGAAGGATGTTCAACAACCGAAAATGTGATATTTTTAATTATTCAACAACCGAAAATAGCAATGTAGGTGAGAATGGGCATTGCTATTTTTAGTTGTTGAAAAACCGAAAATATAATATTTTCGGTTCTTAAACATTCAAATGTATGAAAGCAATTATGTGATACTAGGTTCTTAAAACATTTTCGGTTCTTAAAACATTTTCGTTCTCAAACACCCATCATAAAAAATGTATGAAAGCAATTATGTGATACTAGGTAGAAGATTTCATTCGGATTGGGACCAAGTACCATGTAACTGTTCCAAGCCAAACACAAAAAGCAGCACTCTTTACCTATAGAGGCCAGAATTAGGGCCTGTTTGGCTGCTAAATTGGGGCACCATACAATCTAAGATTTGGTCAGTGCAGGATCCATAATCCTTGATTGAGATTCTCAGAGAGTCTATACTTGGATTGGTGCAAATTCATTGGGGCCTGTCATTTTCCACAATAAGGTGGATAGCCAGCTTTTAGCAATCTTAGAATTTAGTGGTATTCTAAACAGGCCATATGCGTTTTTAAGTTGAATGGGATTTCCGAAATAGTTCATAAGCCCTATTGAAATGTTAAGATGCATTGATACCTATATGCATTTTGGTGAAATAAAACAAAAGTGATCCCAATATTCCTTAGAATCTGAAATAGGCAAAGGTTCATCTAGAATGAGTTGTGAATTTGCTTTCCTAATGCACCAGATGCTTGGGATGAAGGAGAAGTAATGCCATTGAAAAATAAGATACAAGGGAACAGCACACTATACACCAATGGTGCATCGGATACGGTTTTCAACTTCAACATCCATGTGCAATGGCGATGGACGATGGAGATAGAGCAAATCCGAATGACCATTCATCAATCTCCATCATCTTTCCATTATTGATGTTTGCCAACACTTTCCAAACTCTGTTGCTGTAAACCGTTTTCATCATGACATCTTCAGAGAGGACGATGGCGTATATTTCCTTAACTGAACATGCATAGTAGCCATATTGATTAATCTCACTCCTGAGAATTTCCCAACATGGAATAATTAAAAAAAAAAAAGAGAATTTCTGAACATGGTAGTTTCTCAAGAGTGACTTGAAATTTTGGTTTTGCTTAAAAACTTTATGATGAAAATAATGGATGGGCGAGGAGTATCATTCCTCTCCTCAAATACAGCAAGAAAGATGGTATGAGGAGCTGTTAGGGTTCTGTTTGAAATCAAATAGGTACTACAGAATGCTTTTCAACATAGAAATAGAAAACAAAGGATACATAATAAGAAAATTCAAAAAGAATGAGAAATAGAAAGCAATTTTACAGTTAATAGCTTCAAAAAAAAAAAATCATGCTGTCTCATAACTTATGATAAACTCTTTTAAATTAATATTAAGAAGCAAAATGGAACAATGATTTGATGCCTTCTAGCAGGCCCTGGCCATTTTCTTCTACTTCTCATTAACTTTGTTTCTTATTTTGTAAAATTACTATTTTGTCAAACTATGATTTCTTTTAATGAAAAGAAATGATAATATAATGAAACCAAATTTGCAACAATGGAGTTAGAAATTCCTGGCAAATTCTCAAGATATTTTCACTAGACTAAAAACAACTATGATATCTATAACCATCTTCACTGAAGTCTTGAATCCAATTTTTAATCACCCCCTTTCTCTTCCTTCAATACTCCTGAGGCCAAGATTCCTGTGCACTGTTCAGACTGATCCCTACTGTCAAAGCTTGTTTTTTGGTCAGTGAATTTTTTTTTACCTAATCGAACATCCTAAGCATTAAAAGCTTGATATCCACTTCTGATTTTTTATTACATATCCATAGCTTTCAACCTAAATACACCACAGGATCCAATGAAGCCTAAATAAATATTATCTGAACTCCAATTTTGAAACCTCAAACCCTTGATATGTTGCTACCTGCTAGATACAAGAAGAACGTAGACAGATCTTAACATTTTGAGTTTCAGAGGCCAGGGACTCTGTTTAGCTTTCAAATGTTGTCTATGAAATTCCACATGGTGCTAACACTGATTGTCTAAACAAATTAATGAAGTTATCTATGCATGAGAACACCCTATAATAAAAAAAGAATAAAAAAGAAAGAAGAGAAACATGCAAATAGAATAGAATACCAGGGGAACTATATGCTATATTTAAAGTTATATATGTACACTCGCTACTATCAAAATTTTCTCTCATGTTTCAATATATTATGAACCTTAATTAAAACTTGGGATATTTAATATGCTACAGCCTCACAACCAAGACAAAAGTCTAGAAACTTTCAAACCGAGAAGGGTTTGAATTGTTAAATAATCTCCAGAAATATGTCAGTTAAATATCACCAGTTCGCTCCAGCTGCAACATCAACCTTTTCACTCTCCCTTCTCTTTCACAAAGTCCTCAATCAAACAACATTGTCTATCACTCAGATTCCTGCACATAATAAACCCATATGAAAGCCAGAAAATAGGTCCACGTTTGGTTCGTGTGAAATTGTTTTCCAGAAAACATTTTCAAATGAAAAAATTCTCTCATGTGATTAAATGTGAGAATATTTTTACATCAATTAGTAGCCAATTGGTGTGCAAAGATGCACTAAGACCAATTGGTATGAAACTATTCCCACACAAAATCACATTAGAGAATTTTTTAGGCACCAATAGTCGTATCAAATAAAAAACTTTGCTCAACATTATGGGTAATCTTGAAAATTCGTGGTCCTAAATGGTCATAATCATATCAAGAAGCTTCTCTTTTTAAGGAATAGAGGAAACAACTTTTTTCTTGTATCCATAGGGACATCTTGGTCGCATTTTTGGGCACAAGCGGGCTTCCAGGAAAAGTAAGCTGGCCCATAAATTGGAGCATACCAATTTATTAATGATAGTAAGCCAAAAAACAAATTGCTACAGAAGATGCATCAAAACGGGGCTTTATAACATGGGAAAGCTTTCTATACTTCCCTTGCTGTATATAAGTTATATACTTCCTCCTATCCAGCCGTCTGAACTGATGGTTGAGATGGACCTGTTCACAATGTCAAGTTTCTACAATGTTTTATTTTTTAATTTTTTTCTACAAAACACCTTGACACCAAATTTTGGACATCCACTCCTATCTCGAACTTGCACCAGCAAAAAATATATGAAATATTCCCTTGATAAAATAAAATGATCAAAATACTCCTGAAAGTCTTAAGGTATTTTGGCCATTTTATTGTATCAAGAATATTTTTTTAACTGTGCTCCATTGAGATGATGTCACGTATAAAATTTCATATTCATATGATTTGTAAAAAAGAAAATCAAAATGAAATACTCTGAGACGTTGGATCTAAATCAAACAATTAGTAGCTCACTTGATCCAATTTAAATGGCTAGATGGGGGTAAATATATAACATATATACAGTAGGTGAAGTATAGAAAGCTTTCCCTTACAATATATTGGAGAAAACAAGTTGATTTATGTCAACACATGGGCCTGCAAAGCATGGCAGGTTCGACAAATAGAGAATCAATAGAATTCATGCCACTAACAAGGAACTTATATCGAGCACATTTGAATCCAGTTTACACCTGTTATTACTGTGTGAAAATAACCTCCATGGGCACCACCTTTTTAGCTCATATGGAAAATGCAATGCAAAGTAAAGTTAGGTCAATACACTTATCTATACTTGTGTTTTATCAAATGAATACAATTTTAGCCTACCAAAAAGAAAATTTTTCAAGAGGGACAATGCAAAGACCACTAATCCAAGAAAGTTACTGCTACAAAAAGTTCTCTCTCAATTTGATAATTGGAGCATACAATGTTTCTTATGCCTCCTGATCAGTAGAAGCCATATGCAGTTTTCATAAACCGTGAGATACAATGACACGATACAAAACTGGGAGAAGTAAAATCAAAAGGGAGAAAAAAAGCAAAGCATGCCCAAATCCCTAAATGAAAGACTAGGATTCACACTACATAAAAGTGATTAGAGAGATTGAGCTTACGCCTCAAGGACCTATAACAAAGAGAATGAGCATTCATTGAAACCAGTCTGGCCATTGGGATACTTACGTTGAAACTTTGTTATTAAAATGAATATATTGTTTTCCACGTTGATATGGCCTCCCATTCCTTATTCCTGCATAAAATCTCAAACATATATATTCATTCAGAGTTCAGTTCCACTGAACCCAACATGGAATGACTAAAAGGAAAGAAAAGCAGATAAAATTACTCAACCAGAAAAAGGAAATCTTGGACACACTACATTATAAAACTGAAGATGCTATAAATAATACATAGCTCTCTAACTGTAGTTCTTACCTTTCCCTTTGCAAATAACCTTTTGGCCAGGTTGGGTACCTTGTGGAACCTAAAGAACCAGGCACCAATTTATCATTCCACTAAATATCACACTAGGAAAATTCCAATTATATACAGTTCAAGTGACCTTAAGAATAACATCCCCCATAAGAGTTGGAACCGGAACAGCTCCCCCAAGGATTGCCTGAACATAGTCAATAATATATCAGATATTGTATATAACAAGCATATATAAATGCACGGAACTTTGGATCATCGAATTAGATGATCAACAAATGCAATAACTAATGGTAACAGAATCATTTCTCAATCTCTGATAAAAAAAAAATCTGCCGATCATGAATAAACACTGATAAATAATAGAAAACCTATAGTTTTCAACCATATAAAATTGTAACTTTGTTGAATCGCAACAAGGTTTAAAAAGTGGCCACTACAATGGAAGTAACAGCCTGAATAAAGGTAGTAGGCTAGGTGTATAACATGGTCCTTACACTTAAAAATGACTATTATTTAGATTAAAAACGACTGTTACAATAACACTCAATAACATTTACAATGACTTCCAAATTTTAATGATAAGGTAACATTGAGAAATGATAGTAAGGGATGTTATCAATAATAATGTAAAATGGAATGTAAAATGGAATGCTGTTCATCAATGGAATAAGTTAACAGTTTCACATCTAAACAGCGCCTCATAAACATGTTGAACTTCTTGGAACTTTATTGCTGAATCAGCATCATCGGTATTGGCATCAAGATGAAGCTTTTTTGCAAGCTACGGAAGCAGACAACAAGTGAAGACTGAGCAATAAAGCGTTTCTCATCAGATTGTCTAAATAATCCATGGAAGAGATGATTTATAAAAAGACACGATAAGTTATTTTAACAAATTGAGTCTTCATCCAAATTGAACATATAGCAGTTTCAAGCAATTTGCTTATCTGAATCTGCTCATTCAACCACAAGATTATAAATCTCCCTTTTTAAGCAGAGGTAGGAGCAGGAGATTTACAAAGTGACCTGATCTAAGACATAATTTGAGGCAGTTATGCAAGATGAAACAATCAAAGAACTCTATTCAACAAATTGAACTTGAATCGTACCACCATATCATGCATTTATTTCCTTGATCTCAATTTTCGAGAAAAGAAAAAAAGGCACCAGACACAGAGTGCTTTGTTTAGTATCAGAATCAGGCTAAAACAATTGGTTCCTTTGTCCACTAATTGTTCCAAAAAGTAAGTTGCCAACTCCAGGGTAACCAGTCACAAAATTCACCTCACCAAATCAACAACTAAATTTGCTTGTTTAAACTAAACAAATCATCCAAATGTGCCTTTGTATTTCTATCTTCAATTCATAGAAAACTGAATAACAGGATTATGATAATCTGTTTCATAAGTGATAATTGGGATGGACTAAATTCAATCCTTAAAAACTATCCAAAAGTACATAAACACAAGTTGAACCACAACTATACATGAGAACCCAAAAGAAAAATTGCTCTAATTTGAACCCTCTATAGTGCCATACCGCATAGCAAGCATTTTTTATTTATGAATCTGTTGCATTCTTGCCGACTCCAAGCACTTCATAGACGTCTCTCGAAGCCATCAATCTCGACCCTATAAAACAGATGCAAACCACAAACACTCTCTATTCTCCATCCAGAGAAAGCAAAGAGAAGAAAATTGAAGACAATACAAACCACAAAGAGGTGCCCACCAGTGGCATGATCGGATCGAATTGAAAATCTCCCTCTATTTGATAGCAACTCACTAAGAAACCCATTTCTCCAATTCACTGAAACACCCAAGAAAGCTCAAGAGAAATCAAATTTTGTTTCAGAGAACCCCAAAGATCTGGACACTCACTTTACAAAAATCCTAAAAAGAGTAAAAGAACACCTTTATTAGATATTAAGCTCTTAAAGATGGACGAAGAGTTGCAAGTTTTTGAGGCCTGTGCAGAAGAATAATGCGTCAATCCATTCAAGAATTCAGTAAGAAAATTGAAAGACAACAAGATAACAATAAAACCAAAAGACATACAGTGGGAATAGAGTTAGAGAGAGGAAGGAAGCGACGAGAGCTCTTCAAAGACCTCCATGTTAACGAGCAGGCGTCTCGAGCACCAGTTAAGCGAAGCATTTCAAGCTGATAATTCACAGGTATTAAGTGTTCAGACCAGAAGATTAAAAAGCCTCAAACCTCAAAAAAAAAACAGGCTAGATTTTGGTTTTCAGAGGGAAGAGAAAAAAGGAAAGCCGGATTTTTCGTTTACAATAAGAAATATGAAATGGAAACCAAGCTACTGATTTAAAGAGAGAATGATAAACCCTAATTTCAATGGAGAACTCGAAAGTCCCAAGGAATGCATGTACAAAACCACAGAGGCGTTTGAAGAGCTGCTCGCCCCTGTGCCGTGAGGCAGGGAAATTTGGATTGCCAACCTTACTGTTGTATAACAAGAACAGCATGTTACAAGTCATGCCCATCGACCATACTCGATAATGCGAAGCATTGTATGGGACCCCATCTATATATGAGTTATATATGTCACCCCACTTCGCAGCCGTCTGAAGAGAGCTAGGATTGCTCATCTCACAATGTTAGTTTGTTTAATTTTTTAGCATTTTTTTTCATCAAATTATGTGAAATGGATTTGCGTTGCAGCTACATGATTTTCTGGGTGAGAGTTAATGGGAGGCAATCTGATAGAGAGAGAGAGGAAGTCAAACTAATGCATCAGACAACTTAGAAGTAAGAACTATACAGAGAGAGCATCCTGTCAAAAAACATGGAACAAAAGGGGGGGAGAGATCACCCATTAACAACTAACATTCATTAACAGAGTAGAAACAGGGGACCAATCAAACAAAAAATAATAATAAGGGAAAACACACACGAAAGATGCAATCGGATAGAGAGAGGGAGAGGCAATCAAAACCACTGCATCAGATATCAGATAACTTAGAAGTAAGATCTATACAAGACAGAGCATCCCGTCAAAAAAGGAACAAGGGGGAGAGAGAGAGAGAGAGAGAGAGACGTCACTATCATGCTATACGAACAGAGTAAGAAACGAACGGGAAAACCCGAAAAAAAACGTAACGACAATAAGAAACTAAGTTAGTTAAAACGAAAACTAACTTAACTAC